CTGGTCCTACTGATCCAGGAGATGTTATTCCAGCTACTATGTCTCTCTGTAGAGTTACAACCAACCTGTAGCATGGCTTTTCCTTTTGTCTTCTAGGATACCTGTATCTCACTGAAATAGTAAGAATGGCCAGGTTTTATTTATTTTGTGTTTACCTTTCTATTTTGAGAGGCTTATTTCCTAGAAACACTCCCAGCTTTCCCTAACTTCATTTGTAGGAGATGCTCAGGATCTTGTAGGATCAGACAGAAGGAAAACTAAAGTTTTAACATCTTCTGGTATTTGCTGCTCCTCTCAGTTAGAAAGCTATTAGTTAACTTTCTATCATAGTGTTCCCAACAGGAACAGGATGGTGCTGGAAAGTGATCGACACATTCTTAGAATCACCAGCAAACGTAACGTTCCCCTCACCACCTTTTTTCCTACTTCTATAACCTTTGTGAAACATAGTACACACTTTATCTTGTAGTCCTATGCAGCACTTGTGAGTACGTCCTTCCCAGGATGTGTCATCTGTTTCCATCTAAATCGGCAGTGAATCCCGTGAAGTGAATTGCAAGATTTCAGGATCTGTTTCTTCTTTATTATGGCCAGTTTAATATGACATCCTCCAGGTACTCTTTAGAAGCAGACTTGACCAACCTCTAAAGCCATGTCAGTTTGCATTTTCTGGTAACCTCCTCCGAGCTCCTGGTATGATCTTTGTGCTACTCCTGCCCTCTGTACTATCTCCTCTGAAGTAACCTCCTGCAGTCTTAAAAAATTGATAGCAGGTAAGTGGAGATACTTAATGTTTGAAGTACCAAGAAAATGTTACTGTTTTTTTCTGTTACATCAAGATGGTGCAACTGAATACAGTGCCAACCCTTATGGATATTAGTAGATGTCACTTAACCAATTATTTAGCATTTCTATTGTATTGTAAGTGTCTAACCTCTGCAATAGAAATTGATTTAGCATTCTAAATTGGATCACATGAAACATGATAAAATGCTGAAAATATGGAACAATTGGCTTGGTGTGATATAATTTGGTTCTTATGAACTTGCATGGCTTACTGGTGCTGGCTCTGGTAATTAAATGGCTTTTCAAAGTGGTCATTGTTGACCTAATTCTATTGGCAATGTAGTCAGTGGGAGTTTTAATTTTGACTACAATGGGAACGGTTAGACAAACAGATTGCATTAGAAATCTCATGCTGTGTGTTTAATTTCACTTCCTGATACAACAATCTCTAAATATTAAAGAGAATTCTTGCCAAGATAGAAAGGCAGAACATAGCTTTTTTCCTTTCTGACGGTCTTGATTATCTTCTGTAGCCACTCAGTTATTAATGCAATGGCCAAGTTACCAGATGAAAAAGAATCCCTTTTTCTCTGAACTTTAGGATGCAAAGTTTTGCATCTCCATCTCTGTTTTCAGAGCCAGCGTTGCTGCTCCATTATATTTACCTTTGTCAACTTTTCTCTCAGCAAGCAAACACAAAAATAAATGGAAAAACCCAGGGAGATTTGACTGTCTTATCCAGTTTAGGATAAACTTTCATCCTTCTTATGCCCTATTAAAGGTCCATAAATCTCCCGTATGTTTGGGAATTGCTTTCTTTTCCTGCTGCGTTCTGTGTTACTGTTAATGCTGTTTTTCCCCTACCAACTCTTATTCTCCATATCGCTGTTTTGATTTGTCCCACACTGGTATGTGAACAAATTATGAATAACCTGAATTTTGAGCCAGACCCTTAAAGTTGTTTTGACCATTTGTTGGGTTTTGCGGTTTTCCTCCTGAGACAAATTAGTCTGTAAATAATTACAGTATTAAGTCTCCCTTGTCACCTTACGTGCTGATTACTTCTGATTCTTTCCCTGCATCTTTCTCAATGGATTGCTTAGTTCCTTTGGTATTATTTTTTCACTGCAGAATTTTCCCTGTGCTGTTCATATCTGTGGGTGCATTTAAAACAAAGGGCATTGCAGGACACCTTTTTAGCCCTGTTACAGCACTTGCTGTGGCACATTTTTGCTTCATTTACTTTTGCAAGGTTATTGGGTTGCTTTACAGAAGAGGCTTTTTTCATGTAGACACACGCTCTCAGGGACCTGCTTTTGCAGGTTATGTTTATTAAACTATCCACTGCAAATCATTAGCTAATGAGCCTGTAGGTAGTTGACACTAAATAGAAAGTAGAGCATTAGATCTTCACCAGTACTTGAGAGAACTTTGGAAACTTTTCATTTCTTGCCGGAGTGCTTCACGCTGGCACTGCAGTCGTGCTAACATCTGCTCTCCTCCCTCTGTCAGCAGGCTGTATGTGGTACAGAAATAACACAAAGTGCCACCCATCTTGACTGATCTGTAGGGGTTTTTTTTTATTTTCCTTTTTAGAAGGTGCAGAAATAATCTTCAGCTGGCACCAGGGTAATATCAGCTGTTCTAGCTTTTCAGCACTAGACGCTTGAAAACACTCTTGCATGGAGTTGAGCATAGGAGTTTAGATATAAATGACTCCGTAAATTAGTGATTCAGAGTAATGTTTAGTAATATTCCTCTTTAGCAGAGGGGAGTGTATCTTACACTTCCATTACAGTAAATAGGAATTCTGGCATTCTCAAAGGGTAGTCACTGTTTCTCATTCCCAGTTCTGCTGTTCAAGTTATAGGGCTGTGGCAGTTTGGGTGTGGTGGGTTTTATTTTTATTTTTTTTAAGGGGATGTTAAAACTACATTGCTATCTCTTGAATCAGCAGAGGCTGAGTCTGTCATGGTGAAAACTGAAGAAAAGTCTAGTCTATAGCTTTTCCCTTTTAGCCTTTTTGTGTTGGGGGAGGGTTGTATGCACAGTGAATGGGACAGTACAGGATGGAGTTCTCGCATCAGAAAGTCTCATTGATTAGAAAATTTGTGTCCTAAAATGCTTTCGTGGATGCTAAGAGCATTGGCTAGTGGCATTTTAAAAAACTTGAACAATGAGTTGCTTTAGGTCTCTTGATTCTGTAGGAGACTTTGCACCTTTATTTTCTTTCGTGTGCTGGAGCTAATTCCTCATTACTTTTGAAACCTGCTGGAGAGATTCTCTTCAGCTGGAGAGTTCTCCAGGGAGTAGTCCTGTTGTTGTTCCTCTTGCTGATATTTGTCCCTTTCAAAAGCATTTTCTAATTCTAGTAAATGTCCAAAGTAAATGCAAACCCTGAAAATTGTTTTCTGCTTTTCTCCCAGGGCTGCATATCAACGTCTGCTACACGGACTTTTAAAAAGTGTATTTCTTGTCTGACTTCCACTAGCTCTTACTGTGTGTGGCAAGATCTGGAACATGACACTTCTTTTTCCCTTTGGCCTTTTTCTCTTTAGCAGGAAAAGTTGATATGTCAGCACTCGAGTTCCCAGGATTCCTTCTGTTATTGATCCACATCTTAATAGGCTGGAGGCCTCTGGTAAAAGAACAGCACCAGCTTTTACATTGCTGATTTCAGGAACCCTGCTGGTTATACAGAAACCTCAGGGCGAGGTGCTGCTTTGGCTGTGAACTGCAAATGCTGCGTCTGCAGTGGGAGGAGAAATGGAAGCTTTGAGCCTGGACTTAGATTTGATTTTGGTGAAATAGCTTGAAATGCTAACGAGCTTTGCAGAACAACCTCTGCTCTTGTGTTCCTGGTTCCTCAAGTGTGTGGGAAACAGCCACGTAATGGACTTTCTTCTCAGCCCACGTTTCTTGCTCACTGACTTTAAAAAAGCAAAACAAAAAAAAAATTATAAAATGCACAGCTTGCTGGAGTGGGTTAGGAATGTGCTGCTAGTGTGTTGCATAAGGAATATTTAGTTTCCTAGTGATTCCAAGGCTCTGCAAATAATATTCTCCCCACAACTGCCTGGGAAGGAGACAAGTAGGGCTGCAATTACAGATGGGAATCTGCAATCCAGGGAGAACAGACCTGCTACTTGCACAAGGTCATGCAGAGAGCAAATTTCTGAACGGAGGAGAAAGCACTGCAGAGGTCTATTTCAGAACTCCAGAGTCACTGATGGGAGTCTCATTATTTTCCTTGCAGTTTTAGTGCTGTATAATTACAGGGCCTCTTGTGACCCGTGAATGCAATATCAGAAATTTTGTTTGCTGGGGACTCTGCAGGTCCTCCAGTTTGGCCTCCTGCTTGTTGTAGGGTTGTTATTGCCAAAATCAGACTGGGTCAGCCATGGCTTTGTCTTGCTCCTTGAGACTTCTAAGAATGGCAGCCATGGCTTTTGTCTTGCTCCTTCAGACTTCCAAGGATGGCAGCTCCACAGCCCCTCTGGGTAACCTGTTCAGTGTTGCACTGCCCTCCTGGGGAAGGCAACTTTCCTGTGTCTGCTGTAGGACACTAGATGCTAGACCCTTTCCCCTCATTCCCCAAGGCCCAGACATGTATTGTGAAACAGAATGAGAGGTTTTTGAGGAGGTAAAGTTTTGTCTGATACCACCTAGCATTTCTGACTTCACTGGAAAAGCTTGTGAAAGGTGAGATTATCTTAAGCTGTGACGGTACTTAAACTGGACCTTGAGGGAAGGAGCGCAAAAGACTAGCCTGCAGATTATGCTCTTTTGCCTGCACTTCTGGGAATGAAAAAGTGAAACTTAACAGATATCTTTGACTAACAGAAAGTTCTCATCAGGACTGTGGTGTACTTGCTTTTGCTCTCCCAGTCCAAATTCTAAAGTTTCTCATTCATTTGCTCAAGTGCTGACATTGATTCATTAACTCTTTGTGGTTTTGTTGATACCTTTGAGACATTGTCAAACAGTGAAGAAAGTGGGCATTAGGCTACCCATATGTAAAACTGTCAGGAGTCTTTAGTACAGTAAGTTGTATGAATTTGGAACATTAGAAGCATGTGACTTACGCAAGAGAACCATTAAATCTCAGTGGCATACTCAGGATGACTAGGTGACATTGCTGTTTTTTCTTTTCTTGGAGAATACTTTCTTATGTAGTATTTTTAATGTACAATTTTCTTTTTGTTTTGCTGAAGGGACAATGGAGACCGATCCAGGCACCGAGCTCCCCGGAATGCCCGCATGTCTGCACCATCACTGGGGCGCTTTGTCCCGAGGTAAGGCTTGTACATGTAAGAGTAAAAGGGTTTGGAAACTCTGGAGGTACCAGTTGCAGTACAGCTCTCTGGTGCTTTCAGATGGATTCCTTTTCTTGCACAGGACTGCTGTATTCTTGGTTTGCAATTTCTGGGACCCCTGAGATGGTAGCAAGGTGGGGGTCAGTCTCTTCTCCCAAGTAACAAGTGATAGGACAAGAGCAAATGGCCTCAAGTTGTGCCGGGGCAGGTTTAGGTTGGATATTAGGAAAACCTTCTTCACTGAAAGGGTAGTCAGGCACTGGAACAAGCTGCCCAGGGAAGTGGTTTAGTCCCCATCCCTGGAGGGGTTTAAAAGACAGGTAGATGTGGTGCTGAGGGACATGGTTTAGTGGTGGACTTGGCAGTGCTAGGTTAACACTTGGACTTGATGATCTTAAAGGTCTTTTCCAACCTAAATGATTCTATGATTCTATGATCAGCTCATCCTGTGATATTTGAAGGACAGCATGGTCTCAGTGTTTCTTACCTGCAGGTTGGGGCTACAATGTGAAGGCAGAATAGGAGGAGAAAAGAATCTGGTCAGAGATTCTCAGCACAATGTGCTGGTTTGAGATTAGGAAGCTATTGTGGTAGGTAAAGGATTTGCTTACTGCTGATCTTCACAACCACATTGATTAGAGGAGGATCTAATCTGTAACTTGCCTTTTGTTTGAAGCAGTAAAGTGGTTGACTAAGCAAAGGAGTCCAGCCTTCCCTCTACTACAGTCTGCTGGAATATAGTCCTGTTTCCTCAAAGTAATTGCAGTTGCTGTCCGGGTCTGTAGTATACTGGGATGTCTTTCTCCGTGTAAGCTTACTCTCTTTGTTTTGCAGACGCTTCTTGCTGCCAGAGTACTTGCCTTATGCTGGGATTTTCCATGAACGGGGACAGCCTGGCTTGGCCACCCATTCCTCTGTCAACAGGGTTTTGGCAGGTAATGAGATTTCCTTGTTTGCAATAGTCGTGTGTATTAGCAGTATTTTTCTTGTGAATCTGAGCAGAGGAGGATTGATGAGGAAAAGTCTAATTCCAACTTTTGAGGTTCTATTCAAGTTGCCTGAAACAAGAGAAAGGACTGTTGGAGTGATGTGGTGAGCTGTCGTTCAAGTGCTTGGGCATCGCAGATTCCACACTTCAAGTATGTGTATGGGAGTCTGCTTGAATTGGGGAGGGGTGCTGTTAACAACTCTCCCTTTGTTTAACTTCGCCGCCTATTCCTAGCCGTCTTTTTTTTAACAACCTGACAGGCTAATGATCAGCTTGCTGCAGGTCCTTTTAATTGAATTATAGGGTTCACGTTCTGGCTGGCAAGACGCACACAAGGCAATGCGGGATTCAATTAGGATCTTAAGTGCATATTAAAAAACTCAGCTGCCACCGCATACAGCACACAGACATTTGGGAGCCTTAAAGGGCAGGCGGAGGTGGGAAGGGAGGTGGGGGGAAGAGGAGGAGTATGGCACTCTGGCAGTTCATGAATGAGATGGTTATAGATGACACATCTTGAGGGTGGGTCTTTTTTGGCTGGGTCTGAGTTGCTCTGTAATCAACCCCAGTGCAGGGGAGTCAACTTGGAGCTTGGGTGAGAACGAGGGATGATGTATGGCCAGGTAGGTTGGGATGTGGTTCTCTTCCTTCCTGTAGGTAGTCACAGGACCACCACTGACAAGTTTCTCAAGAGGCTGTGTGACCTTTTCCCTTAGGCACGATCAACTATGCCTAAACCATTTTGGACAGGATTTATCTAACCTGTTCTTAAGAGTCGTCATTGGAGTTTTCCCAGCCATTTTAGGGTGGAACTGTTGTTGATTTTGCATGGCCGATTTAGTATGGCAGTGGTCTTGTCTTTGATAAGAGATTTCTGGCATCTCCCAGACTTTTGTCTCCCTGGACATTTTGGTTTGAGCGCATGGTAAGAGCTCAGCCAAAGGCTAGCCTCCAAAGCACTTTTGGAGCTAGCCTGTAGCTTTAGCTGACGCACGTACTTTCCCGTGCTTGCTGCCTGTGTGGGCTTTGGGTGTTGGCACGTGGCAACAGCACAGTGGCAGATAATTACTTGCTGCCAGGCAACACTGCAGAACTCTTGTGTGGCCCCGCTTTGCTGGAGACACCTGCCTTCAACCCTCCTCCAGCCCTCCTCACAGTTTGCCTGTTCCTTGGTGGCTAGGAAACAGCCTGGCTTTTTCTCCTTGCATGTTTTAGGGAATTTGAGCCCCAAAATACACGAGTTTGCGGTTTGTTATGTGTACGCCAAGATTAACAAAAGAAGGCAGAAGTTGTAATCATGGGACTTTGAACAAACACGATCAATCTTTTCTGTATGGTGCTGTGCTGAGCCTACTTAAGGCAAGGTTTCTTGGCTCCTATGGTGTTGTGGAACCTCACGCTGAAATGGCTGGGACTCCACAGTAAAGGCTTTTATTGACTTGAATATAAAATTAATTCTCCTAATGCAGCAGCTGCTTGTGATACGTTATTTTAATATTCTGTTTATTTTAGTCTGTACCTACGCTTTCAGCTTTCAAAATGTTTTTCACATTTGTGCTCAAAAACATGTTAATACGTTGCAGAAACCAGGAGAGTTGAAGTTGTAAATATTAGGTGGAGGCATGAAAGATGAGAACTAGAAAATGAGGTTGCAATTGTGGAATAGTCAGAGAATTTCTTGTGTTTGTTATGTTGGTCAGCAGCATTGTCATTTTCAGTATTATATTTCAGAGCCATTGAAAGTTGCAGTGTTGACAGTTATGCTTTCCTTTTTAGTTACCCTCTGCCAAAGCTTGTGGTAGTTCTTTCTTCACTATCATAGTGAAAAACCTCTACTCAAGCTCAAAAGTACTTTAACCCTGGCCTGGTGGCTATGGGTGAGGTTGCCAGCCTTGGCTGAGGGAAAAATCAATCATCTGTCTTCCTATTAACACAGGCTAATCTAAGCTTGAGTGCCTTAAATTGCTTCATCCTACCATGTATCCAGACTGTCATTTCTGAATTATGTTTAAATGCATAAATGCCAAAGGTATTTGTTACGTAACCTCTACAGCATTTGAGAAAAGATGCCAAAACCCCCCTGTATTCCTAACCTGACAGCTTTCTGAAAACTGACAATAGACTTCTGTGGTCAAGTATGAGTGAAAGCTGTTGTGTGGGAAAATACACCCAATTACACTTCTGCTTCTGTCCCCTGCCCCACTTACTGCTGTATGCAGAGAAAAAATAAAAGCAGCAGACATAGATCTTATGGGTGTGTGAATTACTTCGGTGTGCTGACTAAATTTCTTAATGGCAAAGCTCTTGCCGTCAGGTTCTGTCCATATTTGCTTTCAGCTGTCTGCCTTATATGAACAGCTTTCCGTTGTTTAAGCATTGTTCTCATGCAACTGTTATAGACAATAGCTCCGTGCTAGGGAAGACTGCCTTGTTAATAAATTGTTAGAGCAGTCTGGTTTAATGAACCACTAAAAATTACAGGTTATCTAAGCAGACGGGCTAGTACAGCAACACAGAAGGTTTGGCAAAATGACTCTGATGTGCCAGGCAGGCCTTAGGTCAGGATTAGAGAGTCCTTTGTACGAGTCAGGGACTGGTGGCCATCCCTGCACAAGGGCACTTCCAGGCAAAGAATAGGAAAGGTGGCAACAGATGGGTAGGGTAGGTGGGAGTTCAGGGGGAGAACGAAGCGATACTAGTCAACATGACAGACCAAGATATCGCCATGCCAGCAGCCTAATTTGCACGTAGCACTGGAACAACAGCAAGTTCCAGTAACACCTTCCTGCCTGACTCCTTATCTACTGGTGCAGTTTAGATCTATCAGCTGATACGATATGCTGCATCACTGTGGTTTCTGGCACCAAGTAAAACACCATGTGAAAATATATTACATCAACATTGTTACCTTTAGCGTTCAAACTTGTAATCACACCAAAAAGTGTTGGTAGTTTGACAAGTTATATTTTCCTGTGAAGTCTATGTTGATTGGCAGTAATTACACTGTCCTCCTTTAATCCTTTATTAACTGAGTCTTATATCAGCTTTTTCATTATTTTGTCTGGAATCAATGTCAGGCTGACAAGACTGACGTGCCTCATCCTATTTCAACCTTTTAAAATACTGGTATAACACTAGCATATTTTTCAGTCTTCCACATTCCCCTTTTATGTCAAGACTCGTCAAAAAAACTGGGAGTTCATTTGGCAGCTCTTCTAAGGCTCTTGGTAGTGTGGGCTGTAAGCTACCCTCTGGACTCTCCTCTCCTTGGTGAACTGCCGTAAGTGATGGGGTTGTGGTCTCCAAGGAAACATCCGTACAGTGAAAGCTATTTGAAGTGGTTGTTTGCTAAAGTGATGATGAAAGCGATAAATACATTTTGGCTTCTCACTCGATAGGACTGGCCAACTGTACATGGCAATACAAGTGGAATACCGCATCTTGGGGCCATTTCAGTCTTCTAGTCTCTTGGATTCTTGGCCATTTGCAGGGCAACAGAGTGGGGCTTTTTCCTCTCTCTCTTTCTTTTTTTCTTTGTTCTGTGCTTCCCAGGAGATACGTAAGAGCTGTTCTGTGGGATGAGGTTACACCTTTTGTAATGGGAGGTAGTACTGCTGCAAAGTTCAGCAGTGTTAGCATGCCTGGCTCTGGATCCAAGGAACACACAGCTCAGTATCATGTTTGCCACCTCCTACTGCTTTTTTTGGTTGTTTTGTTTTTGTTTTTTTTTAAGCTGAATATTTCTGCCCACTGTTTTGTTTGGGGTTTTTTGTTTGGTTTGTTTGTTGGTTTTTGTTTTCATTTTGTTTTTAATAAATTTCTCTTTATCCTAAGTCACAATGTGAGCAGGACACTCTTAAATAATTTGAGGGCCAAGTAATGGATATTTTTTGGCGTCTGGTAGTAAACAGATGTACATTTTAATATCTTTCTAAAAATCAGTAAATACATTTAAAAAAAAAAATCCACTTCATTGCCACTAAAGTGCTTATGACCTCTTGTTCGCCGATGTGAACTTTTCCTTTAGGCTTTATAGTAATTGACTACTTCGGGATGGACAGAGACATGCTAATGGTATAGTGGAACAAAGAAAGCTTTAGTTTCAGTTCAGTGGAAGCGCAGAGGAAGAAGTAAATCAGTGTTTGCCAAGGAACTTTGCAGGAGGCTTTAAGAATTGACACAGATGCCAGTTTGTTGACGTTCCTGTTACTCAGCAGGAGACCTGCAGATGAAAGTTTACTGGTTTATGATAGAGTTAGCTAGCTTTGTGAAATGCTTCTCTCTCTCACCTCACTTTGTTTTAATAGGCATCTATTCAGTTATGTGCATCTCAACAAACAAAATATTTTGCCTTGTATGAACACAGATCGTGTTTGTTCTGGCTTTGCCACTAGACTTTATCTGTTTAAATAGAATCCAACACAGTTGCTCTGAGTCCTGCACCTCATGGAGAGATCCAGACTCAGCATGGCTTAAGGGCTGAGTGATACAACACTCTACATTTATTTACAGTTTTTGAGTGATTTCATTGCTGTTTCAGGCCAGATTCAGATAGATTCAGACCAGAGACTAAACACTTACATGCATTCAAAGAATGAGCTTGATGGTGCAGATTTGGATATCTCTGCTGGGGCTGCCAAACAAAGCTGTCTGTGGCTGTGTTATACTGGGGTAGGACTGAGGCTATAGGTGAAGCTAAGACTCAGTCAATAACCTGCCTTTAATTGGGATCTAGGACTTCAAAGTGTAATGTTCAGCTGCTGTTTTCCCAAAATCACTGTTGTGGTTTAAGCCAGCAGGCAGGTAAACACCACACAGCTGTTCACTCACTCTCCTGCACTGGGATGGGGGAGAGAATTGGAAAAAAGGTAAGACTTGTGGGTTGAGATAAAGACAATTTAATAGGACAGAGAAGAAAGGGAAAATAATAATAATGATAAAAGAATA